GATAGATTCAGGTGAGAAAAATTGTCTAGCACGACACAGTGGACAAACTTTCTTGGCAGCAAACCTAGTAATTGATTCAATATCATCTTTCCTCGTCATGTCAATCGAGAATGTTAGCCAGAGAAGGAGCAACGAGTCACACACCCAGAGGTTAGTATCAGACATGCTCATGGGAGGCATTTGTGTCAACAACAGTATAATAAAATCAAACCAAAAAGGTTGGTTCTCGAGGTGAGCCTTTTTGAAGTAAAACATCCGTTTTATCTTTTTACCTTTAGACGTCAAGGTAAACCTTACTCGTATCTATCAGCATTACGACAGTCATACAGTTTTGTAAGCTCATTTGAACGAAAGACTGTCACTCATTTTTGTTTTTGATTTCGACAGATAAGTAAGGACAGGGTGTGGTTCACTTAGTGTATTAGATGTTGTTAGTTAAAGGGGGCGAGTTGCAAGTCTGGCTTGTGCGAGGAAATGACTTTTGCGTTTCCTCCTTTCTCACCCCCGACCACACCTGACAGGTTCGTGCGCCGATAGCAACCTTCGCCGTTATCAAGGAATGATCTTGTAGTCAACACGAACTCGGGGAGGGCGAAGACATTACTCATAACAACTCTATTTTAAATACATTCGTTGCATGACAGATATCTTTCTAAATATACAAGTAGGGATACTCGGCGTTGGTATAGATTTAACCCGTATATTAGCTTTATGAGAAAGAATGCAATGATTTCTAATTATCGTATTTCGCGGCATATAAGTCGCACGGGCGTATAAGACGCACCCCAATTTCAACAGGGAAAATCAAGAATAAATTAGTAATTAGTAAAATTATTAGTAAATTGTACATCCTAAGCTATAGTTATGAGGTATTATTCTAGTTATGCTTACAATTAAACGAAAAATAATAAGAAAAAAAGAATACGAGCCTATAAAAACTTTATTATATCAAAAGGTAAGAAAACAAAATAAAAATCAAGCAATTATTACAATTGAGCAAAACAATACAGTCTTGTAAACGTCATATTGGAATAATTAGGATATAAAAATTCTAATTGTATTGATACCAATGCAACCGAAAGTTATCGCAAGAAAAATATTAATGAAACAAATCCATTTTACAAATATATAATTTGAATTTATTGCATATAATTTTAGTGAAACAATGTACTAATATTAAACGTGATGAAATTAATATAATGAATATTATCAATGATAACACTTTTAATCTGCATAATAACCTTTTAAATAATGACAATAGGTATATAAAAGGTACTCTAAAGTCTAAGCTAATAGGAGTTGCCAGGTAGCTAATTTCGGCTAACTATCGAGAACTTTTAACCTACATATGGCATACAAAACGTAGGGGAATTTTAAAAGATATTTTTTAGTAAAAAAGTGTGTCTTATATGCCGTCAAATATGGTATATTAAGGAAAATATGTCATCTTTTTATTGTTTTTTAAAGTTTTTATTGTCAAAATAGACGACTGAAAAGGTACTGCGATTAAGCTATTTATTTAATTTTTTTGTTTGTGCAAGTGTTTTCTTTTTTAGACACAAAGTAAAATTTGTCGAAACATTCTGCATTTCCGAGCGCTTTCGGCTATACATTTAGCAAGCATGTTTTTATTTTTACTTTTAACTGAATGTCTGGGTTGTGTCATATATGTATCTAGAGTTATAGGAATGTTTTATTTCCCGAACACAGTCAGCACATTGTGGCCGTGTTCAGAGTTAATGTTACTGTCTGTTGGAATTTTTCTTTTTTTATTATTAGGGCTTCCATTATTTTTTTATTTTTTTTACATATAGAAGAGGTTATCATGCATGTATTTTCTACTAGTATGTTTCGGATGGAGTCTGGTAGCTTTTTGTGTGTGTTTAAATGGATTCTAATGGAGCTGTGGTTGAATAGGTGTAACGTAAGACGTCTGGATAGGCATGTAGTAGTGTGACTAATGTAATTATTTCTGATCAGGATCACAGTTTCTTAGGGGTATTTTGGTTCTTTGTAGTTTTGATTTTACTGAAGTGTTATTTTTGAGGATAAGGTTAGCTGTTTTTAATTTTTTGTGATAGATAATTTAATTTTCTTGTTCGGGTCGACTGGGGCAGTACATTTCTTTATGATATTTCTGAATGATTCCTCTTGCACATTATTGACGCATATCTGGCTTTTGTAGGAGGCACGGTAGGGGTAATGGATAGCGGCTTGGATTGAGGAATCAGAGAGGTGACTTCGAATTCCAGTCAAATCCATTACATTCACTTACGTGCTAATACCCTTGGGAAAGGTATGAATCCTATTCTTCTCCCTCCAGCTATGGGTAAATATCAGGACAGACCAGGTTCTATAGCTTTGGATGGCAACTGGTCTAAGCGTCTATCAAGCATGGCACATAACTGACTGATTGTAGATGTTATTGTTTTGTCTGTTCAGTATCGTTATTATTTCCTTTGAAAAGAAATTGCCTAATCTGGTGGTCGATGAGGTAGTT